TTCTCACTTTCTGTCTCTCTGTCTCTCTCTGTCTGTCTGGTGAGCGCACGCACCCTATAGTGAAAACCTCTAAAAAAATAAATAAATAAATGAATAAATAAAATTAAATATATATTTTTTTAAGTAATGGCTTGAGACAGTGTAGGAGAAGGTTGGGAAGTAAGGGAGAGTTGAGAGAGGATCAAGGGGAAAAATTATATTTGGACTTGTATTCACACTGGAAAAATTCATTTTGTCTGCAGTAAAGATGTACCATGACCAAATGTAAAAAAAATAAGAAAATAAAAGTCAGGAAAGAATGGCATTCTAAAATCCTGACTTTTTTACCCCCAGGTTTTTACTGTAGGGTGACTGTACTTGCTAGAGAGAGACAGAAAAAGGGGGAAGTGAGAAATCACTCCCCAGGGTGTATGGCCATTCCATAATCCCTTCTTCTCTATTCTCCCCTCTGGACTTAGGGCATGCGCACATACATGCCCAGCAGCTGGGTCCAGGACTCAAACCTCTGTCAACCATGTAGGCGTCCAGCAACATAATCATCACACCCTCTACTTGTCCCCCAGGCATGATTTTTAAGCCATCAGGTCCAGAACATGAACCACCGTTGGCCATATGAGGCTCCAGTGCCTTAACCACCACATCACCTGCTAGCCCCCAAATCCTGACATTTTTGGTAATTAAAATATCTTTCTCTCTTATCTCTCTTTATCCCTATGGCCCTTAAATCAATGATTCCATATGCTTCATGTATTCTTTTTCTTTTTTATGATTATCCCACAACATGAACAAGTAATAATTATATGTAGTTATGAGATATAATGCTCTTTGTATTTTTCTAACATTGCTTTTTTGGGGGATTGTTTTAAGTATATTCCTTTTCTTGTTTGTGAACTTCTTTTCACATTTCAGATCTTTCTTTTCCTAAAAGTAATTTCCAAGTTTGAGCAGAAGTCACTGGGGAAGACTTGCTTATTTCAAATGATAATGATGGGTTTTTCTCCAAATACTATTGCATTGATTTTTAAGAGGTTTTTGCTTTAGGGTACATGTGCTTGGCAGAGGGAGACAGAGACAGTAAGGAGGAAGGTAAGAATTCACCCTCCAGGAGGCATGGCCATGGCACAATCCCTTCTCCTTCATTCTCTTCTCAGGATTGTGGAGATGCACACAGAGTTGCTTGGGGTGTTTTGAAAGCCACTGGGTCTGGGATTCGAACTGTGGTCAGCCATGTGGGAGTCCAGTGCCTTAACCACTATGCCACCTGCTGCCTTGATAGACTAATTCTTTGAAAATGAAAACTTGGTAAATCCAATGCAAGAAGAATGAGAAGGCTAGTTCTGTGATATAGTGGTAACACACTGCTCCAGGGAAGCCAGATTCCACACAGCTGGTTCAGCCTGGAATGTACCCAGCGTGTGCACAAGAAACCAGGATCTGACAGATTGAACTGAAAGAAGAACTGAATGCAGTTTGTTTATTTGTTTTTTACATTATTAATTGGATAAAGAATTTTCATGCTTCTCATATTTCCAAGACCTGCAAATATAGTACTTTTTGTAGCTATTCATTTTCTGGAGTCTCTCCTGTATCTCCTTTGATAGCCACACCTGAATGACCATGTTAAAAATAGAAAAAAAAAAATAGAGGCCATCAGGTGATGTAGTGGTTACGGTACTAGACTCCCACATGGCTGACAACAGTTCAAATCCTGGATCCCGTGGCTTGATACTCATGATGTGTGTGTGTGTGTGTGTGTGTGTGTGTGTGTATGTGTGTGTGTGTATGCCCAGAATCCCAGGAGGATTTTATTTTTTTAGTTTTAGTTTTCGCTATAGGGCAAGCGTGTTTGTCAGAGAGATAGAGAGACAGAGAGACAGAGAAGGTGAGAAATCACCCCTCCTCCAGAAAAGCCAGACTGTAATCCCCTCTCCTCCAGTCTCCTTTATGGATTTTTGAGCAAGTACACACATGTACCTGGTGTGATTTATGCCAAATATTATTTTGATTTATGGTAATTTTATGTTTCATTTTATCTTAGGACAATCTACGATTCCCTTTGCTAAGTTATAGATAGATAGATACAGATAGTTTGCTAAGTTTTATATATCTATATAGAGAGATATAGTTTTTTAATTTATATATATATATTGTTAATTTATATATGTATATGTGTATATACATATAAAGACATTTTTCTTGCTTATAGTTTTATTTTTCCCAGTATGAATACATTGCATATTGGTCCAGCCAAAGATATTACCATGTAAATTATCATCTTTGTATGCCTCTGCTCACATTACTAAGATTATTTTTTAAATTTACATTTAGTCACTGTACATCTTTACAGTGTGCTACATGATTTTTCCCAGCTTGAATACAGTGCATATTTGTCAAGTCAAAGATAGTACCATAGACATTATCATCAGCACACTTTGTAAATGATCGTCCACATTATGATTTTATGCTGTTTCAGCGAGCATGTTGTCTTTTTAATAGAGTTTTAATTATTTATCTTCATAGTAGCATACTTAAGTGTTGACTAGAGATACTTTGTTTGCAATAATGTTATTTTGTCTTCCATACATTCAACCTAAGAGTATTTCTAAATATCAAGTTCAAAATAATAAGATTTCATTTGGTGAGATATTTTGATCTGATGAGAAGGGACGATGTTGGAAATTATGTATTAGATTCTCTTCTATAAAAAAGAAGAGATACTGACATCCAGTCCCTGACAACTATGGTCCCAGGAAAGAAAGACCAGGAAAGCCAAATCTGTTCAATGATACCATCAGGAGAAACCAGAGCAATTCTGCTAAGAACCATGAGAAAGTGGTGTGGAGGGAAGGAAAGTGTTGCATTAATGGTGTCTTCTGGGGTATGGTCTGGGGTGATGAGCTAGTGAAAGTCCTGCGTAGTTCACGTCTCTAGCTCTGCAGGAAATCTGGGCAGCCTACTCCAAGTTTCTTTGTTCTTTTACTGTGTTTGTTTACTGTAAGGCATATGTGTTCTCCAGAAAGAAATAGACAGGAGGTGGGGGGAGTGAGAAATCATCACCTGAGGAGATGGCCACACCACAATTCTACCTCCTCCATTCTCCTCTCAGGATTTTGGGCATACACACAAACATTTCCAGGTGATTTTTTTATGCTGCTGGATCTGGGAAACAAACCATGCTGCTGGCTATGTGGGATCCAGTCACCTTCACCTCCATGCCCCTTGTTGGCCCTCTTCTTGCTTTTAATCTTAGAGCACAATTCCAGAACCGCTCCCCTTCTGCAGTAGAAATAGACCGTTCATTACATATGTTCAAGTCTCAGGGACCCATCTCTATTTTTCCTTTATCATTTCCTCTTAATTGTAGGGCGTTGGCTGAGGGAGGCAGTCCTAGGACTTCTTTTCACAATAATGTGATTTCTGATGTCAGTTTATTCTTACAGATTTGCGGTAAAATCATCTAGTATTGTGGCAAGGAAAACACCATTGAAATTTATTGGATGTTCCATTAGAATTATAAATTAATTTTTAAAAATTGACATTTTTGTTATGTTCATATTCCCATTTCAGTAATAGTGATTTTCCTCAAGATATTTCAGTCTTTTTGGTATAAACTTTTGTGTAGCCATTTTTTATGTAGATTGTGATAATTTATTAGTAATTTCTAAAAAAAATTAGGCTTAATTTCACTAACAATGATATTCCATCACATTATATCTCCAATATTATTTGTATTAATATTTTAGGAAATTTTTATATTTTTTCCGTGCTTATAAAGTAACTGGGCCTCCAGCATACAAAACTCACGTGGTTGGAAGACCCCTTTCAAGTCTTCTGTCTCTGTATCAGTCTTTGTCTCTCTCTACCTCTGTCTCTGTCCTCTCTCTCTCTCTTTTAATTTTTGCTTTATAGAATTGTTTAAGGTGAGGCATTTTACAGGGCCCTTTTGTCCCTCCTAGCCCTTTATCTTGTTAATAATCCCCCTCCTCCTCCCAAACCAGGAGAGACAGAACAGAACAGCCCTTCTTCAAGAGACAGACAGCTCCATGACTCCTGCGATCTAGCCATTTCGTGTGGCATGCAAGCACACCATGCGGTTATCTAGCCATTTTGGGAGAAAGGAAGATGTCCCACTGATAACTGGGCCTCCAGCATCCAAAACTCACGTGAATAGCCCTTCTTCAAGAGGCAGACAGCTCCATGGCTCCTGTGATCTAGCCATTTGGGGTGAAAGGAAGATGTCCCACTGATAACTGGGCCTCCAGCATCCAAAACTCGCGTGTTTGGGAAGAAACCGACCATCCACCAGATGACTAGAAATCGCTGCAGGACCACAAGAAATATGGGGAAGCAGGAAAATACCTCTCCCACAAGGGAAAAGGATAGCTCCT